GGGGAAGACGATTGGAGCGGGCATTGAGTCACGAGGTCTCTACTATCTGATTGCACCACCTTCTCCAGTAGCCTATTCTCTCACAGAGTCTCCTGAGCTAATTCTCAGCCGTCTGGGTCATCCAAGCCTCTCCAAGCTTCGGCATATGGTTCCCTTTTTATCCAGTCTTAAGTCTTTAAACTGTCATTCTTGTCAGCAAGGAAAGCACACTCGCTCCTCCTTTGCTAATAGAGTCAATAAAAGAGCTGATGCTCCCTTTTCTATTGTTCATTCTGATATTTGGGGTCCGAGCCGAACAATGTCTGTTTTGGGTTTTCAGTATTTTGTCACCTTTATTGATGATTTCTCTTGTTGCACTTGGGTTTATTTAATGAAAAATCGTTCTGAATTATTTTTAATTTATCAAAAAATTTGTGCCGAGATAAATACTCAATTTGGTGCTTCTATTCAAATTTTGCGCAGTGATAATGCAAAAGAATGTGTCTCTTGAGTTTTCTAATTTTTTGAAGAAACGTGGGACGTTACACCAGACCACTTGTCCACACACTCCACAACAAAATGGAGTGGCCGAACGTAAGAATCGGCATCTGGTTGAAACTGCTCGTACCCTACTAATTCATATGAATGTTCCACTTCATTTTTGGGCAGATGCTATAATCACCTCTTGCTTTCTCATCAATCGCATGCCCTCTTCCGTACTCAATAACGAAGTTCCACTTAGTGTTTTATTTCCAGGAGCACCTTCCTATCCTTTACCTCCACATGTATTCGGATGTACCTGCTTTGTTCATGATCTTACTCCAAGAAAAGATAAATTAACATCCAAAGCCTTCAAGTGTATTTTCCTTGGATATACTCGTTTTCAAAAAGGGTATCGTTGCTACTCTCCTGATCTCAAGCGTTATATTGTCTCGGCTGATGTCACTTTCCTTGATCAACAACCCTTTCATTCTATCCCATCTCAGATAACACAAGTTGATCAAGTTCTTCCTGTTCCTTTTCTTGATTTGTCTTTACCAATTGTAGGAGACTCTATCCCGGAGGAGCAGCTCCTTGCCTCCATCCCTGCGAACTGTCCTTTTCTCACTTATCAACGTCGTCAGCCTGCGCCTCCAGCGGATTTGACCCTTACTGACTCACCGCCTGCTGCTGTCGACACTTCCCCTCTGGATCCTCCATCAGAGATTACTCTCATTGCCCTTCGCAAAGGTATTCGATCAACTCGTAACCCTCATCCACTTTATAGTTTCTTGAGTTATGATAGACTTTCTTCACCACATTTTACTTTTGTTTCTAGTATTTCGTCTATTTCTATTCCTAAAACCACAGGTGAAGCACTCTCTCATCCGGGTTGGCGTCAAGCAATGATTGATGAAATGCAAGCACTTCACTCCAGTGGCACATGGGATCTTGTTCATGCTACTCCTGAAAAGTCAGTTGTCGGTTGTCGATGGGTATTCACTGTCAAATTTGGTCCTGATGGCACTGTTGATCGCCTCAAAGCTCGTTTGGTGGCCAAGGGATACACTCAGATATTTGGTCTTGACTATGGGGATACTTTTTCTCCTGTTGCCAAGATGGCATCTGTTCGCCTATTTCTTGCACCTGCTGCCATTCATCAATGGCCTCTTCTACAACTTGATATCAAAAATGCATTCTTACATGGTGACTTGCAAGAGGAAGTATATATGGAGCAACCACCAGGCTTTGTTGCTCAGGGGGAGAGTTCTGGCATGGTATGCAAGCTTCGTGAATCTTTATATGGCCTGAAGCAGTCTCCTCGGGCCTGGTTTAGTCGCTTCAGTTCCGCTGTTCAATCCTTCGGTTTAACCCGAAGTAAAGCGGATCATTCTGTCTTCTATCGGCAGAGCTCTTCTGGCCAGCGCATCTATCTCCTTGTCTATGTTGATGACATCATTATTACTGGCAGCGATCAAGCTGAGATTGATCAGTTAAAGAAGTACTTATTCAATCAGTTTCAGACCAAAGATCTTGGCAGACTTCGATATTTCTTAGGAATCAAAGTAGCACAGTCTAGTAAGGGCATTTCCATTTGTCAGAGGAAGTATGCACTGGATATCCTAGATGAGACTGGTATGTTGGGATGTAAACCTATTGATATACCTATGGATCCTAATGTTAAGTTGTTACCCGGACAGGGGGAGCCATTGGCAGACCCTGGTCGTTACCGCCGACTAGTTGGAAAGTTGAACTATCTTACTATGACAAGACCAGACATCTCTTTTTCAGTTAGTGTGGCAAGTCAATTCCTTGACTCTCCTTGTGACTCTCATTGGGATGCGGTTATCAGGATTCTTCGATATATCAAAAAGGCACTAGGAAGAGGTTTATTATACACTAATAAGGGGAATGCAGAAGTGTCTAGCTATTCAGATGCTGACTGGGCAGGTTATCCTTCAGACAGACGATCCACCTCGGGGTATTGTGTTCTCCTCGGAGGAAATTTGATCTCTTGGAAGAGTACGAAGCAAACTGTGGTTGCCAGATCAAGTGCAGAGGCAGAATATCGGGCCATGGAAAATGCGACCTGTGAGCTCATCTGGCTAAAGCAATTGCTTAAGGAATTACATCTCTGTGAACAACGGCCCATGAAACTCATTTGTGACAATCAAGCCGCATTGCACATATCCTCTAACTCAGTCTTTCATGAGAGGACTAAACATATAGAAATTGATTGTCACTTTGTTAGAGAGAAGATTCAGTCAGGCGAGATCGAGACAGCATTTGTCAATTCCAGTGATCAACTTGCAGATGTCTTCACCAAGGCTCTTAGAGATCCCCGAATAGATCATATATGTAACAAGCTGGGTGCTTATGATATATACGCACCAGCTTGAGGGGGAGTGTTAGAAATAATATTAGTTTTATTATTATTAGTTTATTATTCTAGAAGGTTATTTGGGCTTAGCCCATTAGGGAAGTTCATTAAAAACTTTCCTTTCTCTTTAAGGGAAGTTCATTTGAATTGATTCGTAAGTTGCCTATTAAAAGGCATATATCAGCGAGAAAAGGGGAAGAAATTGGTTATTCCCAAAGTTCAGAGAGGTTTGTCCTCCGTGTTTTCAATTGAACTAGGTTTACATTGACTAGCTGCCTATAAATTGACATCTTATCAATCAAATTGCGAGTTTGGTTGTGGCGACATATCTTTGGGCATCGGTTTTTGTTCCTTATGTGAGCAAGGATCATTGTGACAATCAACGAGAGTTTTTGTCTCATCGAAATCCAGTTGTATGCAGGGTTAGGGCAACAGTTCTTGTTCCTTCTTCGAGCAAGGGCCATTGTGTCAATCGGCGATTGTTTTTGTCTCGTCAAAAGGCCAGGTTTGAAATGTTTCTCACTTTAACTATCCTGAACCTGTCTTGGAAGATCCAATTAGGTAGAGTTTCATGTGGCTCACATGCAGGGTTCAAATCATTTGGTATTCGGAGCAAGGTTTCAAGATGTTTTGTATATCTTTTTTTCTTTAAAAAGAAAATTAACACCAATTTTTTTTTCACAATTTAAAATTCTTGTTCTTGAACTTAAAAAACAAAAACAAAAATAGAAGTTGTAGAAAAAAAAAAAGGCTTAAAAAAAGGTACTTGCTGGGAAAAAAATTCAATGGCATGGGAAACCACTCCATGGGAATTTTCCAGAATTATTGCAACTTTTGAGCATATGAGCATGCAGGCAAATGTGATGGCTGATCCTATGGCACAACTTGAGGATTTGAGGACAACTCATTTTCAGTAGGTTGGGAATGTTGCAAATCAAGCATGGCCTCAGCTTTGGGACATGTATTTGTTTTTAATTATTTACTTATTTTAGTTGTTTGCTGCACAGTAGCAATCGAGGCCCCTATATCGGGATTTTCCATCCCTTGGTATTCTCTACCCTCCATCTTGTCGGTTTGGTAGTCATTGTTGTTTGCGATTGTTTTGCTCTCTCTGTGGTTGTTTCTATTGGTGCCATCGTCTATGCTCAACATTGCTACCACTGTTTCTTTTCCAATGAAAACTCCCATCCATAGTGTTGCTTTCGTTGTCTGTTTGCCAATGCCAACATTGCATTGAGGGGGATAAATTTGGAATATGCATTCTGGCACTATCGGTCTTTGCCCCACTGTTCTTTTTCCCATATATGCAATATGACTGCCCCGCCGACCTGTCCCAGATGCGTTTTGGCCCCGCTGGTCTTTGTCCTCGACATGCAATCTTGCCCTGATCTTTTAACCAAATGTAGTTTAGCCCTATCAATATCTGTCCTAGATATGCAATTTGACCCAGTATTTGTTCCAGATCCAGTCTTGCCTCGTTGGTCTTTGTCCTAGATACGTAGTTTGGCCCTAGTCTTCGTCCCAAATGTACTCAGGCCCCGTTCGGCTCTGTTCCAAATTATATTGTTTGGTTATTTTTCATTTTTTAAAGCAGTCATTTGTAAGAAGTTTAAAGCTTAGTAAACTTTAGCTGAGAAGAAGTGTTAGAATATATTAAAAAATGACAAAATATCTTGATTGTATTGTCAAATAATTTAGAGTCTCTTGGATAATCTTTAAGGAATAGTTTCCCTATTTCTTTATATTCAATGATTTGTTTCCTAATTTAATGATGATAGTAGTAGTATAAATAGATAGTGCTTTGTAGTTTATCTCACATTATAACACATCAAATCAATACCAATATCATATTATTCAGTGTTTATTCTCTGTTTTCTTCCTTCCATACCTAAATCCCTATAATTTCAATGAAGTTCAATGTATCATGTTAATATTGCAATGAGGAAACTTGTATGTTTTGTTTTTATTATGTTTGTTGTATAGAAATCAAGTCGGTTGTGTAGTTTAGACGTACTCTTTTTAGCATATGCTTTTGTTTTCTCTCTCAAGACCTATTTTCTTATCAATAGTGACTGACTAATGTTGCCTGACTAAGTTCATTCATTTAGCTTGGATCTATTCGTGTTAGTTAGAGCTGTGTTCCCATCATTTAGTTAGTCTATTTCATTTGGATGTTACTGTTCTGTCATTGCAGTAAGTTACTTGATCGATAGATGAATTCCAAACCTTTATGATCTGATATTCATCTAATCTATCTGTGACTTTTTAGCCTGTAGTTCAAAATATGAAGGTGGATAATCATCCAGGTGGAGGGCACTGGTTTGCTGCTGGTTTATCACCTAATGTGAGCCCGCTACTACTGTAAATATTTCTGCCTTTATTTCAATTATAGGGAAGTTAAGTGCATTTATGATAACTTTTTACTTGCAAAGGACAAGAAAATGTGTTAAAAAGATTTCAAAGAGAAAATAACCTTTGTACATAAGATGGGTAAAAAGCCTAACCTCAAATTGGATTGAAAAGGTACGGGAAAAAACAATATAAAAAACCCTGTGGGATTGAAAAGGTAACGGGAAAAGAAACCCTGTGGAGTAAAAGCTTTAGTAAACCAACATTGTGATGGCCTAGAGATTTTTGTTGTCATGATACAAATTTTATGCTCTAACCTGTATGCTCTAACCTGTGAGTACTAAGTAAATAAAATAGAGCAGGAGTAGCATAATAGATAAGCTTAGAAATACACACCATTAATATGAGTAGAGTTGTGATAAAGAGAAGCCATAATCTAATGAATGCAAACAGTGGGAAAGCTTGTAGCTAGATGTTGGTTATAGGCCATAATCTGGCTTAAGATCCAGTGATAAGTGTTCAATCCAACATGTGGTATTAGAGCCAAAGGTCACTGAGTTCAATTCCCAAAAAGGCATGGACTGCTGGCAGGTGCTGAGAGGAAAATGATTGGTCGTATGCCAACTTTCTTCCTTGGCAAGAGTTTTCCCTTTAATGTACGAAACATATATCACCATCAAAAGACACACAGGGATAAACACAGAGCACACTGGCATTCCCACAAGAAACTTAACTTGATTGAAAAATGTTGAAACTATCAAATCAAAGCTCTACCTGTTTTGAGGACATACTCAAGAATCACCAAAATACTCCCCAAAACTTACTTTCTGGTATCTAATGGGCAATGTAGAAATAAAAGTGCAGGTTATTAACTGGAAATGTACATCACATATATTACGGGACAACATTGTTAGGAGTACTAATCTTGTTTTCAAATGAATGACTTGACCTTGGGATGGATTCTAGATTACTATAGGGTCTATGCTTGCCGAAATTTCTCTATCTGAGATGCGATTATAAAATAGAGGACAAACAGAAGTTCACTTCCTACTGAAATTAGTCAAGTATTATATTTAAAATCCACCAACTATTATCTTTCATAGCACATATTTTTCTGAATCATGAGAATGAACTATTCAACACATAAAAGTATCTCTTTAATAATCTCTAATTCTAATACCCAACTCATCTTGCTGAATGCCTTTTTATAGAATTGATACTTAACCATCCTTCCAGTACAATTTACAATGGATGTTCCTCTGTAGATTCTGTAAATGGGCTACCAAATAATTTGGAATATATGTATATGATTTTTAGTTCTTAGATAATGATATCCAAATCTTCATTTCTTCCTACTAGTTGATTATAGTTAGTTCCTACAGGTTCCAGGCAAAAGCAGAGCTTCCCTCTACAGCAGTTCACATTTTCAGATGGTGCAATATCCATCTGCTAATAGTTATGGCAGTATAGGAAGCCATGGGAGCTATAATGATAGTGTTGGGCTTGGAAGCAGCTATGGAAGTTATGGAGAGAGTAGTAACATGTTTGCTTACTATTCACCTATTGGTCCATCTGGTATGAACATGCACAATCAGGGAAGTATGTCAGTTCTTGGAAATAGTCCTGATGCTCGGAGGAGAGTTAGGTACCAACCTGGGAATGGGTTGGGTATAAGTCCATCAGCTGGAAATTTTACCTCCCTGCCCCTTGGTGCCAGCCCATCTCAATTTACTCCACCAAGTTCCTATAGTCAGGTTCCAGTTGGTTCTCCAGGACACTATGGACCTACGTCTCCTGCAAGAGGAACCTCTCATGGATCACCTTTAGGGAAGACAGCTGCAGCTAGCCATTTTAATAGAAGGAAAAATTGGGGACATTCTGGAAGTCCTCAAACTCATGAAACATTTTCTTCACACTGGCAAGGTCAATGTCCTGATAGTTCAAGCCATGCTGAGGGAACATCACAAGCTCTTGGCAGTTCACCATCATACCTACAGTCAAATATTAACCCTGGAAACTGGAAGCAGCGAGGAAGTGGAGGGATTTCTTCTAATCAGAACATGACATCCTCAAATATGCCTAGTTCTAATATAAACTTGCAATCGACAGAAGCAGTTCATGACAATGCAGACACAGGCTTTTCATTGCCTGATCCTGGAGATTGGGATCCTAATTATAGGTACACAATTGGCTCCCAAACAGCTTATCTTTATGAGTTTTTTTTTTTTTTTTTTAACTTTAAAAATTGATATATTGGATGTCTGATTTTGTATGTTTTATACATTAGTTTTTATTAAAATGAGTCTCGTGCTGTCTTATTGAAGATTTTATTTTTTTACAGCATACAAGACATTTAGACATCAATTCTGATTGTGGCGGTAGAATATAGCACACAATTATTGACTCTTCTTGCAATCATCTTGTTAGCTAAATGTTAGAAAGGTTTTCTTGTGAATAACCCCAATTAAATGTGTGTATAAACAGAAGGAGTGAGAGGGGAAGCAAGGGTAATTTACCTAACACATTTATGGTAAATGAACAGGAGTTAATGGGACTGGGGACAATAAGGTGGGGCAGCAAGGAGCATCACCAAGAGGGTTATGGAAAATGAACAGACAGTTAGTGGGAGTTGAGAGAATAGAGAGGGAACTGGAGTAGGGAAAAGGGTAGGAAAAATCATTTGGATTGTGGGATACCAGAGGGGTCAGAATTCTTTCTGATAGGGCACTATTCTTTCATTCATCGGGTTTGGCATGTGTCGGCTGTTTCTTGGCATTCTTTGTGGTGGTTATATTTAGTTTGTCATTGTTTTTTTGGCTCATGTATTGTTGATCTTTTAAATGGCATAGCATTGAGGGGGAGAAAGTTAATTATGGGATTGAATGATAGTCATGTGGTAGACTCAATTATGGGATTGAATCTTCTAGCATCATTGATTTTCCTTCCAATTTTCCTGAAGTTAATTAACTTATTGATATTAATTTTCTTATCAATGATTTTAATTTCATTCCAGTGATGAACTTCTTCTGCAAGAGGATGGTTCAGATGAAAGCTGCTTGACAACTGAGTTTGGCAGAAGTATGAATCTTGGTTCCACCGAACCATGGGCTGGATTTGGAAGGTTCAACCAGATCCCCAACTCAAGCTCTCCAATAATCATGCAGAGGTGAATTGTCTGCTATTGAATTTTTCTTTTCTCATTTTCCTTTATTTTATCCTTGGTCCTAGTGGTTTCCCTCCCATATACAGATTTGTACTTTCCTTGGCTGCAGCCTGGGTTGATTTGTTTAATGCTCTGATGATTTGCCTCATCAAGTTAAGATTGGCAGATGAATTGGATTTCTTACGAATGTGTCTTTCCTATGTCGTTAAACTCTTATGGTTATAGAATCATGACAACGTTAATATTGTTGCAATTTATAAACATTTTATTTGATTAACTTAAAGGGATAATAAAAATCCTTATTTACTATCATTGATCTCTTTTGCTGTGTGTTTCAGAGTAAATGGACCAGGTCAATCATTTTCTAATGTAGAGATGGGTAGCCCTCCAGCACATGATCTTCAAGCAGCATATATACCCTCTATGTCAATGCCTTTTCATCTCATGCCTCATGTTTTACAAAATTCTCCAAGCCGTTTTGGACACCAATCTGTTCAAAGATTCACACATGGTAGACCCCCCCAAGCAGGTGGTGATTGGAATCAAATTAAGGTTCAGGCTCCTCCTTCTGGTTTCAGCAGTGTGGGCCCCCGTTCTCCCAGGAATAACTTATTCACCAACAGTATGCCATGGGGTATATAATACTTGCCACTTGGTTCCATCCATTCTCATTGTTTTCATTTTTTTTTTTTTTATTATTATTTTATTACCTTTAAACAACATTAGTCCAAGCATTAGGGATCACTCTAATACCCGAGCATGTGCAAGGATCTTAATCATTCATACATAAACCAACGGTTATTGTATTTTTTTCACTCTCTATCCTAAAATATTTTCTCTTTATCCTAAATTTTTTTCTCTCTCATCACCGTCGATTTGTCCATGAATGATTAAGATCCTTTCATATGTTAAATAACATATGAGAATATCCATTCCCCCAGTGTCCCTAGTTTTTTTCCATGGACCCCAAAATTAGTTGTCAAACTTTTTTTAGTTATTGGTTTCACTTGGTGAACTTCAAATATTTATTGTGAAAGTCAACAATGAATAAAATGTGACAGTAATCAGGTACTGTTATAAAAAAAAAAAAATAGAAATTATGATGTGTCTACATCAATCTAACTTGGCTGTTTTGTATTGTAGGGCGAAGAATGAATCCTCCTGTCTCAAGCATACCGCCAGCATCCCGCGCAAGAAAAGATTATGGAAGGATAGACTAGTTCAGTGCATCACCTTGGGTTTTATTGTTATTATTATTCTTATTATTATTATTATTGTTGTTGTTGTTCATGATAAGGGTTGTCCGTAGAAGATGAAAAAAGGGAGATGGAATTGAAGAGGAAAAGTGAAAAAAAAGAAAAAGAAAAAGAAAAAGGCCACTACCCAATGGTTTATTAGCAAACCCGTTATGTTTGATCATTTATTGTGCTTGCGCGTAAAAATAATTTATGGTTATAGTTTGCATGCCGTTGATCATTTTTTGGGGTATTGGTATTTGGTATTTCAATGGCACTATATGCACCTGTGCTTAATGAAATCTTATGATTTGGTCCCGTCCAAATTTTATAGTAGGTATTAGTGCCCTAATCAATTGCTCTTTTCTTCTGACTAGATTGAATTATTGAGGAAGAGATCCATGGAGTTGAATACGCTTTGTGGTGCCCTCTAATGATATCCTCCACATTTGAACACTGTTATATTTTATGTATTTAGTATGCTACTCGTTGGGTATGAAGTTACCTAGTGGGTGCGTGCGTGATAGGATCTCAATACTTAGGCAACAAGACAAGAATTTGAAGTATGTCCATGCGGAATGAATAATGGTTGTTTTTCTAGAAGATTCATGTTATATTAAATATGCTAGCATGTCAAGATTAATGAAATTTTGTTGATAATAAATTTAATTAAAATAATTAGAGTTGAACACAATCAAATTGAGGATGAGAAAAGTAACATAGGATAAGATCAATCTTGTACAGTTGTTGTATTTCAAGTTTAAATATTTAGTTTGTTAACTGTTCCAATAGTCTAGTTTGTTATCTATTTGAACTTGTATCCTTAGTTTGTAGTTTGTTAAGTTGTTCCAGTAGATCAATTCTCTAGTTTGTTATTATCTGTATCATTTTATATTTTAAAGGCTTTCACATCGTTAATGAAATCAAGCTGTTATATTCAAAACAATTTCTGATATTGTATCATGAGCCTTCCGATCTATGCATTTTTTGACTATATCGAACTGTTTGTTTTAGTGGTGCAAGATATTCTTTTAACTATTTTGGATGATTATAGTTGACAATGTATGAGTCTTTCTTATGAACGATAAAGGTGAAACTTGCTCCTATATTCGTAATTTTCTAAACATGGTGACTGGTCAATATAATATAATACATCAGTTAAGTGCATTCAAATGGATAATGGCAGCGAGTTTCTATCTTCTCAAATGCAACGTTTGTTGGCCATTGTGATATGTTTCCTAAGCAGTCCTGTACACAACAAAATGGAAGGTTGAATGGAAACATCGTTACATCCTCTGAAACACGGACACACAATTTTGGGGAAAAAATGCGTGTCCGACACAGACACGTTCGGACACGCAGTAGACTTTTTGGGACACGTTGACTAGGGGGACACGCGAATTTGACCGTATCCGACACGTGGTCAATGTATGTGGACACGTTTTGACACTTTTTGTAAAAATAAAATAAAAATACAATTAAAAAAAAAAAATATTTAATAAAATTTAAAAAGTCTAGAATTGGAACCTTATCGTTATTCCTTTCTCCCTGTCTCGTTTGTTGACGGCTTGACGCTGGAAGTGGAGGCTGCTGCTGGTCGTTCTCATCTCCGGTGAGTCTCTTTCAATTCTCAAATCTCCGGTCATCTTCTCTGTAACATCCCACGTAAATAGGAAATATATTATGTTGCTATGAGAATTTTGGGTATTATGTTCTTGTATGTGCTTTGTGCTTTGATTCGAGTATATAATTATTAGGAGAAAATTAATTTGAGTTAGGAAGTTTCTTGAAATAAATTAATTAGTCACAGAAATTATGTTAGGCATGAGAAAGCTAATTTAGAATTACAGCCATAAGTTATTAAAAATAAAGTAAGAGGCAATAAATTAATTAAATGAATTTAATTAGTGATGGGCTGAATTATAATATAAGAGGAATTAGCATGTTGGGCCTTGTTTGGGGGAGAAGGTCGCTGGCCCATAGGATGATGAGTATTAATCAGCCTAATTTAAAAGCATTGGGGCTTATTGCTGATGGGCTAATCTCAATTGATTTCATAAGTTAGTATGTTGGGCCACAACAATTGTTTTGACCTGCGGCCCAAGAGCCTTGGAGCAGCAACCCAACCCAATTCACTTCTCAATCTGATCCAGCCTTCCACTCCTACCTAAGCAGCGTGAAATCCCTCTCCTCTCAACGTGATTGGATGAAGACTCTCTTGGCCAGAGCAACCTTATCACCTAGTGAGTCACGTCTCTGCCTTGTGCAGTGGAGAAAGATCAGAAATAGGGTTTCAGCCTAATCTTGCCTAACTCCTTTTGTAAACCCCTAAAATCTGCCCACCTGTAGGAGCAGCCAATCGGTTGAAAGAGAGCAGGATGCATGCTTCCTAATTGGATAAAAATTTTATCTCCCTTCTTCCCTCACGCGTTCATCAGTAGAGTGATGGGCATAAATTTTGATCTCTGGTTGTGTGGATAAACTCACAGCCAACCTCCCTCTTTTCCTCTCCTCAACCAAGCAAACTTGTAAAATTATCTTCTGATTCTGTTTTCTTGTATTTTCCCTAAACCAACGGAAGAACGATTTCACCTCTTCTTGGGTTTCTGTTGCAGAAACCGTGTAACCCCTTTTGAAGAAGAAACGAAGATTCAACGTCTATATACCTTTTCCCTCTGTTCAGCCATGCCTTCCTCCTCAAGAAGCTGAGGCGTTGGTGGCTGTCTAGTGGTCAGACGTGTGAGCGGCTTGGTGTAATCACAAGCAGAAATCTGAATCCATCTCTTTCTTCCTTTCTGCTCGGTCTTGAAGGTAAAACAAGGGCTGAACCTTCTAACTTTCTATTCTGTTTTGATCTGCTCCTTGCTGTAAAAACCGAACCCCAGATGATTTGAAGAAAATGTATCTTGTTAAAATTTAAAAATACTTTTATTGGTTGTGAATAAAGTGCTACTAGCCTAAATTAATTAAATTTAAAACGGTACGATTATGTTTTCTCCGAATCTGCCTGACGAGAACTCTTAGGATTTCCCTCTGTTTTTGTTGTTAAAAATCCCTTTTGGAAGTCACACAATCCTTAGGGTAGGACCCTTCTTGGCCGCGGGATGTAGGGATATTTTAGGCTTGGGAAGCTTTGGTTTAATGTTTAGAGAAGCTTGAACACTATGCTGATTTTTTTGTTTGAAATTAGGTGCTGTTAATTCGTGAATTGGACATTTTCGCTGCTGTTTGGAATCGGTACAGTGACGTTTTAGGTAATTGTGTGAAGGCACTACTCTTCCTACTTGCTAGAAGGAGCACGAGATGAGATCGTGGCTCCATGTCTTGATATATCTATACGTATTAATGTTTCTCGTTTTGACATCTTGTTAATCTTGCTACATATATATATGCTGCAAAGTCTTGTTATGATACAAATTATATGATCTTGACATACATGTTCATCATGACATTTTATTTTGTATACTGCGTGCGTCACAAAGCATAGCATTCGAGCATCAATTTCATATTGCGACAAAAAAATCATTTTTAAAAACTAAGCATATGGATGAGCATGCACCATATAGGCATTACCTACGGTACCAAGGTCTTGGGACAGTTGGCTTCAGTCCGCTTAGGCCACGGTTGGATCCCTTCTTGAGAAGCCATCAAGGGTAATCCACTGTGCTTGATAGTACGGGCACATTAGTGCTATAACGTACTCTTGGCGTTTTACGCATCTTGTTTAGCATATGGCAGCATGTATATATATATGATAAATCTTGTTATTTCAACTATTTCGGGTTCTAGCTTATGTTTTTTGCATTTTGGTATTGTCTCACACTACTGGGAAATGTTTCTCACCCCTTTGGGGCTGCTATTTTCTGATGTACAATGGCAGGAGGACGCAAAAGTATTTGATGTTTTGTTATGCGATGCTTGGCTGTTTTGTGTACCCGTAGCTGGATTCATGGCTGTTTGTTGAGTTGGGTGACTGTGTTTGCAAGAAGGATAACTTGAAGTTTCATTATTATGTTATTTTGGATTTTACAAAAGTTGTTTATTTTGTTTGGAAAAATTCTGGTCCAGTTAATGATCTTGAACTTTTGGTTAATTGTTGTTTTGGATTAATGACTATGTTTTTGGAAGTATGGATTGTTTTCTGAAAACTGTTATTTTGCGAGCAACTTAAAAGTTGGCGTCCTGGGGCTACGACCCTTCGAATGCGACATAATTTATATGCACGCGAAGCCCCTGAAAGTATCTTTAAGAATCTGCAGAAATCCAAATTTTATGGTAACTGTACGAATTCTGAAAAATAACGCAAGACAGCAGGTTTTTAAGAAAATTCGCAGAATTCGCGAGCAACTTGCGAGTTCGAGTTCAAGGGGCTATTCATCTCGGAATCGCACATATTTTATATGGAAGCGAAGCCCCGTGTATCTAGTTTCACCGTAGCGAAGAATCATTTTTACCCGACATCAGATTGATTTTATATGAATTTTAGAGAACAGTACGTTTTTCTGGTAAAAAGAAAAAATTTCAGCAAGCGCTTATTTTGAAACTTTCGCTGTTCTCATGAATAAACAATTTTAAGTACAAGGTTTTCTAATCTTGAGTAGTTCAGTAAAGATTCTTTGTGTTTAGCTTTAGCAAACGTTAAACCGATTTTTTTTTCCGCTGCGACTCTAATACAAGTTAGCAATATCGCATCTCTTGGATGCATACAAGAGGGGCGTTACACTAATTGGTATCAGAGCAGTTTTGGTCCATGGATATTTGTTTTTGGAGGGATTGTTACTGCTTGCTTGCTGATTGTGATTGATTGTGATAAATTGTGGTTTGCTGTGTGACTAATTAATTTACTCGTTAGGAATATATTAGCCGAAATAGGTAGATCGATAAGATTATTTTTGGGGATAAGTGACTGAAGCATAATTTACTTACCCGAATTGAACTCGACTACCTACATGAGATTGCTGGCATAAATAACCTGCAGTGAGTCTGATCAGCTCATTTCGTGATATTATGAGTGCAGAATCATGGCAGGTAATCGCGGTTCCACTCGGGGAAGACCAAGCAATGCAGAAGCAGACCTTATCACCACTGTCGGAGGACTAGCGGCATTCATTCAGAACATGAGCCAGGAATGGCGCAACTATCAACAGCAAAATCAGAATCAACCCCCGCCATTCGACAATGCAGAAGAAATTGCCAGGCGGAGATTGAAGGATTTCCGTAATTTCCAGCCGCCTACTTTCGAAGGTGGAGATGATCCAGAGACTGCAGCTCGGTGGCTGCAGATGACTGAGCATGTATTCGAGCGCATGAGATGCCCCGAGGCTCAGAAAACCGACTACGCATCGTATCAGCTGATTGGAGAAGCACTTACTTGGTGGACTAGTGCAAGAGCTCTGCTGCGAGCTCAGAATGTTGAACTGACATGGGCCGTGTTCAGGCGAGTTTTCCTGGACAAGTATTTTCCTCAGGCCATGAGAAGGATGAAACACTCCGAGATGTTGGCACTGCGTCAGGACAACATGACGATTAATGAATATACCTCTAAGTTCG